ATTCTGGCATATAAAGCTGAAAAAACTACACAGATTAATACATGAGTAAGTGTCAAATAATTGACATTCCTGGAATTATCCTCTCAGCTGTTAACCCAGTTTGCATTCTCCTGTAGTGCAACCTTCCCCAATGCAGTGTCTTCTATAAGTGATGGCCTACAAATACCATTGCTCTCATGCAGCATGCATACTGGGGATGACAGGTTCTGTAGTCCAACATATGTTCTAAAGGCTAATGGTTTGTGGGAGATTACAGTAGAATTTATGTCCTGATAATTGTTAGGGTGGGGAACCTGATGCCTTTGCATTCTGGATCTGCCCTGAATGGCTAAAGGGTGTTAAGGAGCAAATGATCTGCATGAAACAATCTCAAAAATGCCACCTTTTAAGTTCATTTGCAACCTTGCCAGATATTTCATGCATGACCTTGGACCAACCCACTGAGTCTTCCTATGCTTCATCTTATCCTTCTGCAAAACTGGACTGACAGCTCTGCCCTCCCTTGCAATGGGGCCAGCAGGCTTAATTAGTGGTTATGAAACTTCACATGAAAGGTGCTCTTGAATTTTTCATCATTATAAGCAAAAAAAGGCCAAAAAGCACCCACTCCCCCTCCCTTTCAGTATAAATAAAGAACAATCGAAGGGGGAAAGACTCTCTCACATCACCTGCCTGTGAGCATGAATCTTAATTGATGGATGAAAGAGATGAATTGGCATTTCATCATCAAAGCCACAGCTTTCATTCCTGTGGACTTGGGCCACCTCCCATCTGTAGAGGCACCAAAGAGCAGGCAAAAAGGCAGGTGAGGTGAAAAGGCCAGAATTTCTAGTGGAGGCCTGGAAAGATAAGGTGTGTGTATGGGGGGGGGAGAACTAGTCTCTGGTGTTTGATACAAAGCTGATCTCTTCTAGGCGCAGCCCACCCCAGCTGCCTGCGGTAGGGAAACAGACCTAAAATGCATTAGAAACCTGGAGCCAACAGGTAAATAAACAAGGAGCAGCCACTGCACTGACATGTTTTGAGAGTGATTCACAGACACACTGCCTAGTAGTCAGGAAATGCAAGGCACACCCAGTGAGATGTATTTGCAGCCAGTCTCGCAGGGTGTCACAAGCCATGCCAGCTGCTCTGTCATCGCTGGTCAATGAACCCTTGTGAAAAAACTGGCAGAGTCTTTTTGGTGGCCATGGCAGACTGGAGTAAGTATCATGTTTGATGAACACAGGGTCTGTCTCTCTCTATAGCAGAGTGATGGGAATTTCCTATGCTACCTTTGGACTCCTAAAAAGGTCCAAGTTAAAACAAGTAAACTGCAGAGCAGGTAAATTATCAGTGCTGAAGCCAGCAAAATGCATCTTGACAAATGTGCAGAATACACATTGGTTGTTCATCACACTCCTGTTGTTTCCTGCTTCACTTATTAGGCCCCCTGTGATATTTTATGGAATTACATATCAGTGAAAATCCCAGACATATTATATTCCATTATTCTCCAGCTGTTGCCTCACTCAAGAGTTTATTAGTTAGAAATTTGCTATTTCAAGAGGCCAGATGCACAGACAAAAACCAACCTCATGAAGACAGTTTAAATTTTGATTTAACACAATGCAGTGGTCTTTAGGAATTAAGAATACAGTAATGGCTTGTTCAACACTGATGTGTGCAAGACGAAACAGGGGAGCATTGTTTAATTTTTAAAAGGCTGATTTTTAAAAAATGGAACCAAATAGCTAAGTATCATCCTCCAAGGACCAGAAAAGGACTACTGTACTATTTTAAGATCAATGTTACTCGTTGCCTTCTCCTCAAATAAAGATACAACTAGTTGTTAGGTTATTTCATAGGGTACTCAAACTAATGAAGCTGAAAACATTGTTACCCATAAAGCAACACGGTGTAGGTAATCTGTTGTAATCTGTTACTTGCAAAACCTCTGGAAATTCTCACAATCTCCTAATAAATACCAGAGTCTTCCAACCTTTCTTCACATCCTGTAGAACAAAAACTCTTCTGCACCAGTATTGTTGTTCTGTTCTTCTCTGAATATCTCGAACATCTGTACAGATACCAGGATGTAAACAGATAACTTTTTGGAGAGAGAGCTGAAAGAATTTTGGAAGGGACAACACGTGTTCACCAGAAACACAAGTGGGAACAATCATGTATCATTACAACTCCTTCCCTGAAAAATATGTTGTTTGTCTCGAACTACAGAATGCATTACAATAAATTGAATACAGTAGTCCATCTGAGTTGCAGTGAATAAAATAACCCTGAACAGGAACTTGCTTTTAAATTTGGTAAGTTTTCTGATTATTTAAAAAGAACAAAAGAAAAGCCGTGTTCGTTCACACAAAATGTCTACCTTCCCAGCATTCTGTTTTAGGACTACAGTATTCTGCGCAATAACTTTTTTTTATGTTACCCAGCAATCTGTATCCAGGGGCATATTATCCTGACAATGAAAATAATATATAATCATTATGGCTAATCCCATTACTAGATTTGCCCTCCACGAATTTGTCTAATTCATTTAAAAACTTTTAAATTTGGTGGCCATCACTGTATCTTGTGGCAGTGAATTCCACAGTTCAAGTACGTGTTTTGTGAAAAAAATACAGCTTTTTATCAGTGTTGAATCAGCCACTATTCAGGCCCATTATATGACCAAGTGCTACTATTACACAAAAAAATCATCATTTTATTCTTACAATGCAAATATCTATCATGTTGCCCACAGTTTCCAAGTAGTGTCTTTTTTTAAAAAAGGAAATTGCTCCAGCCCCCTGATCATTCGGTTGTCCTTTTCTACACCTTCTTCCAGTTCTACAATATTCTTTTTGAAGGGTGGTGACCAGAAATGTGCAGAATTTCAAGTGTGGTTTCCTGTGTCTTGCACTAACCTAGCTGCAACCGAAATAGTGTTAACAACATAATTGTAGTCCAAGAAAAAGAAGCAGCTCTTAAATAGATTCTACTTTTAACTTGATTCTTCTCAGGAAAGTTGGCACTTTGCTAACTGCACCCTCTCCCTTTTATGGAGATAATTTGCAAACTGCATTTTATCTCTTCAGCCTTCTACTTTATTTAAGTAAATTTCTTTGGAATGTCAGGGTGTGATGACAAAGAAGTTGTCTTGGGTTGATGTGAAGTTCTTCATACCATTCCCTGGCATTTAAATCACTGTTGCCATTCATACAAAAATATTGAATTATCCCAAAAAGCTGCATTTCAGGCACCCATTCATCAGCTCCCCTTCTCCCCTGCCATTATTAACACTCTCTTACCCACAACTTTCTTTTTCAAATGTTAAGCAGTTGTAGTCCTCACCAGTGGGAACAGAAGGCAGGCCAATAAATAAATAAATAAATGAATAAGGTTCACTCCCACAGCAAGTTCTCCTCAGTGCATCATCAGTGATATCATCTTGACATGCCCAGCAATTGCCCCAAAGAACCAATATAGACAGTCACACAAGCCAAAAGCAAGCAAAAATAATGCAACTGGAAATACTACACAAAAGTACAAGCCTCACTGGCCAAACAAAATATACCACTCATGGCAAAAGGTCAGATCTCCTCGCAGTTAGTGCTAACATCATGTAGTCACTGGAAAACATATTGAAAACAACAGTGAGAAACACAACACAAACAGCTCCAGTTGCATCTTCTGTAGCATTCACTGTTAGTCATCAGCATCTGTGGAGATTCCTTTGGTCATTGTTGAAAAATAGCAACAGCCGTCCCTATGAAACTAAATGGACCACAACCGTGTTTCCCCAAAAATAAGATAGGGTCTTATAGTAATTTTTGCTCCAAGAATGTGTTAGGGTTTATTTTCAGGGGATGTTTTATTTTTTCGTGTACAACAATCTACATTTATTCAAATACAGTCATGCCATCTTCTGGTTGCTGCACAATGGTGGAGGGTGGGGCTTCACTTAACTGGGGCTTATTTGGGGGGTAGGGCTTATATCATGAGCACTCTGAAAAATACTAGGGCTTACTATGAGGTTAGGTCTTATTTTCAGGGAAACAGGGAATTATTTATGACAGCGGTTCATAAGTTGCTACTTTTGGGCAGTTATGTTCTGTCAGTTGTATAACCAATGATACATACTAGAATGATACACCGACAGAGTAGGACTCTGGAGACCTGGATTCAAGTTCTTGCTATGCCATGGTGGTTGCAATAGCTAACCATTCTTTGAATTGCTCACATACTTTGAAAACCCTATTAAGTTGCCATAGCTGGGTATGCCTTGATCACATATGTCAACAATGTATTGTATTCGCAATAGCTACTATAGCTACTGAGTCTTAAATTTGGCATGCACCCTGATAACAACTCCGACAATTGTACGATATATCAGTTTCCAAATAAAGGATCAATTGAGGTATAAACACTTGCATACAAATGTATGGCAGCAAGGTGATTTTTCAAGCACTTTTTCTACAGCTGCTGCATAAACAAGGGCTGTGTGAATATTCTGTCTTGATTCTTCCTGGAAATACCATGTCCCTTCTTTATGCAACACTGCATTTTCACCAGTGTTTGTTCACAGAATTGTTGCTTACTGAAAATGTGGATGTAAACAATATTGATGAAATGCTGGATTTGTTTTTAAAGGAGGTATACACAACATTGAAAACTCACTTTTACGAACTTTTGACTTTTAAGAACTGGTGCACAGAAATCTGGATAAGACATTTCTATCACACCACTTATTGTGTAAATCAGCTTCTCCCACTTTGCCCTTTTCCCCCAACTTGATCTTGTTGAAGTGGATATGGGTTGAAGGACTTTGTGCATGCACTAATTTGTTTACTTGTATTGCTTTAAAAAAGAAGAAAGAAAAGAAAGAAAAACCTGAGCGTCAAGCAACTTATTACAGGTTGTATGAACTCCAAATATCTCCTGCTTCAAGGAAACTGAGTAATCAAGGCTGAATGCAATTTCCTGTGCAAGAAGCTGGAGGCAGAGCTTACTGGGTGAGGGGGAGAGGCAGAAACTTGTCCATTTATAACTAAACATTGCAATAATAGAGAGGCAGCAGAGATATAAAGTAGTCTGGCGCGTCTTCCCAGTTCTCACATTTCTTTGTGAGGAAAACTTGAAATAATACTAGTGGCAGTGGGGGAGGGGGGCAGTAAGAAGTTGAAGGGAGGAGAAGTTAAGCATTTGTTTATTTTTGTCTTTAAAGCCCAGGTTAAAGGGGGAGGGGGTAAAGAAGAGGGTTGGTGGGAAAGTAGGAACGGGAGAGCCTCACATGGAGAAAACAATAAGATGACACTCTGCTTGCACCAGCACTTTTAAAGAGACATCCAAAAGTAAGTCCTCTTCAAAATAAAAAAAAATACGGGTTTTAAAATAAATAAATAATCGGCGTGCTGGGGAGGCATGGGCAGAGATGGGGTTGGGGTGGTGGTGCTGAGGGAATTCTCCCGGCAACTGGCAGGAGACGGAAAGGTGTCCGAGGAGGCTTGCGCCCCGCTGGAATGCCTTTGCGCCAGGCGAGCGACCCTCCGGGCATCTTTGGGGGCGAGAGGGTTTAGAGAGAGAGCGCGTAAGAGAGAAAGAAAGCAGGGACTGGCGTGGTGCGGTTTCTCCACCTAAACGGCTGATTCATCCCCACGGGAGAGAGAGAGAGCGCCTTGTGGGCCAGGCTGGGGAAAGCGAGCGTCTTCAATGAGCTTCTCCTCTTTCTCTCTCTCGGTGTCTTTCCTGCGCGTGTGGTGGCCGCCGCGTCTCCTCCTCCTCTCGCAGGACTCAGTCCGATGTCCCAGGTGAGAACCGAGCTCCCCAGCCGCTCTTCGGACTCTCACAATGGAGACCCTCTGGGCGATCCCGCGCCCGTCCCAGCAGCCCCCAGTGCAGGTAAGCACCGAGAAGGCTGGCGTCCGGAACTGTAAAAGGCATTCTCTGAAGCCCCGGGTTCTTTTCGTGCTCCTTTGCGTCTTTCAAACCGTCGGACCTTTCTTTTACTTCTGCCAAAGAAGTAACGCGCGTGAGAGGGGAAAGCGTGAGGGGCCTGATTCTCAATGGCTCTGAAGCAGGAAACTCCAGCGAAGGGAGAGATTCACTTCCCCCGCCTTACTCTCTCCCCCCCACCTCCGTCGAAACTTTGCGTGTATGTATGAAATTTTTTCACGCTTCTCGAATCCGCGCCAGTTGGCCCGCATTGTGCTTGTATACGTACGCGCGCGCACAGGGTCTGGCGGTGCAGCTCGATCCCCCTCCCCCAAGTAATGACCGAAGGAAGAGCGCTTGGTTCCTCTCCCCCCCTCCACACACACACACATACACACATCAGTTACGGCGCAGGCCCAGCTTTTGTGTTTTGGAAACTTTTCCCTCTCACACCAAGTTCTTACAAGTTTTTCCCTCAAAAGTTCTACGCGCGAGCCTCAGCGCCTTGGCTCTTCCATGGAGTGTGCGTGCGTGGGGGTGCGTGTGCGTGAAATGATGTCTCCTGGAAAGCCGAGGGGCGTCCACGAGAGTACATTTGCTGGGGGCGTTTGTGTGCGCCAGAGGGTCACTCTCGGGCTCGCCTTCCCGCCCTCCTTCCCGACGAAACCCACCATTTCCTTTGCTCTCCCCCCTCCCCCAAAAAAGCCAATTCTCTGGAGCGTCTTTCCTCTTTGGCCGCTCGGGAGCGTTTTGCAGGCTTTGCAAAGGAAGAGGAAAAGGTGTCCCGTTGCCGTGCGTTTCAGTCTGATCTCTGTTGCAGACTTTGGGGGCTTAGGGGGCGGAGACTGACGGGACCTGCCTTTCCTCACGAGAACTTTTGTCTTCCCTCAGACATCGTGTGTTGTTGGCTCTGGGCCAAGTCCTCATTTTCCAAACCCTCCAAGCCCTGATCATATTAAACTTAATAACATCCTCTCGTTCCCCTCCTAAGCCAGGAAAGAGCCTTCTATTTTGTTCGGTCTAATCCTTTCAACAGATCTCGCTTCAGGCTCTGTAAATGGGGTGGGGGAATCCACGTTTCGTCCTCCGAAGCGAAGAATGTGCATTTTCCTGTCCTTATGGCAAGCATTGGCAACAAAACTGCATTTGGGATTTGGAGGGAGAGGTGTTCTCAGAGGTGCTCCCTTCTCGGGGCAACTAACACCCAGTTTTCTTGATGGGGAAGATTCTTTTCAAAGCACAGTAGATTGAGGGGTTGTGGGCAGACCTTGGACACATGTGGTATAGCTGTTTCACTGTACCATAAATACAGCAGTCAGCGCCCAGTTTTTTTTAAGATGGAGTAATTTTTTTTTTTTTTGGCAAATCTTTGGTTGGCCCATTCTCCAGCACAAATAATGCACTGGAATCCTATGCAACACTTCCCTGAATTGCTTTACATCCTAAATACAGTTTCTTCATTTCTATACAGCTGACAGCATGCACGGCCCTACCAAGTACAAAGGGAAAAGTCCCTACCCTGAGGAACGTGCAGTCTGACTTTGGACACAGGAAAACAGCAGAAGAGGGGCCAATAGGGAGAAACTGTGAAGGCAAGATTTTGGAACGTTGCCTCACCTCAAACTATTTGGGCATTACTCTGGATCGAACCTGATCTACAAAAACACTCTCCAAACAAAAAGTTGCTACCTGAAATAACATACTTATAAAACTGTCTGGGTCAGACGGGACTGTACACCCACAAACAGTAAGAACAACATTTTTGTCTGTGTGCGACTCCACAGCAGAATATGCTAGTGCCTTATGGTATAAATTAGCACATGCCAACAAGTGGATGCAGCTCTTAATGAATCATGCAGGATTCTTACTGGTTGCCTGATAATTGAAAAAGTCTACTATTGGGCTGGCATTGCCCCTCCAGAAGTACGTCAAGGGGTACTAGCAAATAATGAACAAAATAAGGTAATACAGCACCAAACCCATCCACTTTATGGACACCAACTCCTTAGATGATGGCCAAAATCCAGGAAACGTTTTCTACATATCTCAAACTCTAAATATTAAACCAGAAGAGGCTAGGCTAAACCTATGGAGAACACACCTTGCTAAATGGATGAATACTGAAGAATGTCTTCCATGGAAACAAGATTCTGGCTGGACCAACTAGAAGTTACTTAATAGACTTTGAAGCAAAGTAGGGAGATCAAAGAATAATCGAGTAAAATGGGACTACTGTTTATTTGGCCGTGGAGAAATGTAGTTAATATAGCACATATGTACTTGCAGTTTATACCCCACCACACATACAAAAAAAGATATAGGAAATGGCGAAGATAAAGCTATTGAAATAGCCTGCTTCTGGTCAGAAATAGTCTAATTACCTTAACATTTGATTTGTTCTTAATTTTACCTGTGTTTCATATTTTAAATTGTACAACATTCTAATACAAAGAAAGAAAGAAGAAAGGGCTAAACAGATAAAGAATATGGCTAGAATCCTACTGGAAACACAGAACACTTAAGGCCTCTGTGGACAAATAGCCCTGCATTTGCCACCTTGCAGTTATGCAAGTGGAGATTGTCTTCAAAGGATTTCTGCTTACACAAGTTCTTACTGGATTCCCATTGCACAAGCAGTTGGAAAGGATGAACTATGCATTGGACTGAGTGTTCCGGCCACAGGTCCTCAGCAGCAGGATACTAACCTATGTATTTGTTTCCTTTTCATTTATGGTTACAAGGCTAATCACAAGAACCCCTAAAGTAGGTCAATATATATTTATTTTGTTTATATCCATTTTTTGCTAATTTTCAGATCTTAGAGCAACCTAGACAGGCTCTCAAAGAACTGTACAAGGTGGCTTAGACTTATCCAAGATTACCCACTGAGTTTTTTGGCCATGTGGGGATTTGAGCCTGGGGCTCTTCTGTCATTGAGAGACTGGCTTGTCTATGGCCTTCCCATATAATTGTAGGGTGGAAGTCTGAACATCACACTGGCTTACTTAATCATAGCTTGTGCTTTCAATAAGTATGTTATATCATCTTTGTACTTATAATGTATTTTAAAAATGTGATGGACTGTCACATGAACACAACATCCCTGCTGGGTCAAACTGAAGCCTTATTAGGCCTGCATTTTTTTTCCTCCAGTGGCCAACCAGGCCACTGGAGTAGCTGCACAAGCAGGCAAGAATACAGCTACTACCTTCGTGCCCCCCAGAGACTGAGAAGGAGAAAAATACCACTTCTGATGCTGGATGTGTTATATAGTCATCATGAGCCACATGCAGCTATTGTCTTTGCCAGCAAACTGGAGCAAGTTCAGAGGAGGACAACAAGGATAATCAGGGGATTAGAAACCAAGCCCTATGAGGAAAGACTGAAAGAACTGGGCATGTTTAGCATTGAGAAAAGAAGACTAGGGGAGCCATTCAGATGGGCAGAATGCTCCAGTAATATTGTGTGGCCAGTGGAGGGTGTCTTTCTCAACATCAATTGACTAACAGATATCATACCAAAGTGCTTTGTTGAGAATGTAACAATTCCAAAGCTAATTTTTTTATATTTCCCCAAAATATGGAGATAAAGGGGAAAAAAATGGAAAGATTATATCACTGTATCTATCAAAGTCTATGGTAGATGATGTTGATACTGTGATCCTGGATCAGCCGCTAACAATACAAAAAAGAATGCTACAGTATTTACCAACTGCTAAAGTATATATTGTCCAGTTCTGGCAGAAAGACAATTGGCAGAATATTTAATCATTTGAAGAAGCTGTAGTTATACCTTTGACTTATATATTGATTGTAACACAATGCATTATACATAAACTACCTTTACCGCATACTGTGAAGGTTGGATCACTGAGATAGTCTTGAAATTCACTATAGCAAATTGCATTTGAAACATAACCTTACTGTTCAGACACCTCATGGTAGAAAAAACTCAATGAGTTTTTTTCAGAAGGACTGCCCTTTATATGAGAAGTAGTGGACCTCAATTAGTACATTAACTAAGAGCATTCAGAAATGTCAGTTCAGCCATGAATGCAAGACAGACATTTTCTGCCTCATATTTCCTGTCTGCAGTACAAAATGAAACAGATCTGTCTTGAAATGGTTGTTGTAAAAATTAATAATTTGTGCAGGATATAGAATGCTGAAAACATTGTGCAAATGACAGTTTTTTTGCTCTTGTAAGGCAACTCATTTAAGGGATATATAAGTTAATCCTTTAAAAAGTCTTGCACCCAAGAAAACTGGAATTTGACAGGAACTGCTCATGTTACAATAATGCCTAGAAACAATTTGAAGTCCTGTTGTGCAAGGCACTGCAAAAATATACAAGAAAACAATGACTCAATTTAGACAGTCGGTGGAGGCTACATAAATCATGATTTAAGAAGCCAGGAACAAGTATCAGGGCTGAATGCTCCTCTCTCATGCCTACTTCCATCTTTAAGTCACATGACAACTTTGGTGCAATGGTCTTATCATCTTCTCCTTATATGTGCTTATTATATCTGAAGTGGAAAATTCTGGCTTTCTGCATGTGAAGAACATGAGGTAAAGGGCAGTGCCTTGTCCTCCATGTTTTTTGAAGCCTTGAATACTGATTTGAACAAGTCCAGGCCAGTAACTGCTTAGAAAGCTAGTGTTGTCCATTCCAGTCATCACAAAATGTTGTCTAGCATCTTCCCTGATAAATCATGGGATTCTCAGAAGTACGCAAAGACTGAATGTTCCTGGTTAGAATAGCTGAATCTCAAGCAAACTTCCAAGAATTTTATTTCTAGGACAAGATATCTACTTGTATGTATGCAGAGATGCTATCTATCATAATAACACTTAGATGATAACATTTAGAAAGGGAAGTCAGTGGTCTTGTCCTTTGCAGGCATCTCCATTCTAAAGCAAGGTCAAGAGTTAGATTAATCTTCATAGATATAAATCACTGTATGG